CCCTATAACGTGTAGGCTTTGCTACCACAATAAAATTTACGGATACTTGAACCGTCATGTATCTACGAATATGGCACAGCCACGTGATAGTTGAAACACGACACACCTTCATTCCTTCATATTCGTAGAGAATAGGACCTTGGATTTGACTTACATGTTTTAGTACAGTCTATCTCGCGGCAAAAATGCCATGTTTAGAAGGAATGAAGTACAGTATATCTTCACTGATACGTATACTCGTATATTCGGTTAAAATTAAAGAGTTAAAATTATAATGCGACAGTTTGGTTTGAAAAGAAATATTGAAGATGGCCGAACAATTGCCCAATACTGCACCCAAATACAGGGTTTTAATCAGAGTATCAAGTCATACTTCAAGGAGCAATTCCTTAGATAATTTTAAGATCTATGATTTATATCAAGTCTTCAAAACGCATTACAATTAGCTACTGGTAGTTTGCAACGGTTCTATGTTCTCTCTATAAATCCGAATGAAGCTAATATAGCAAATAGTCCAGGAAGTATCTTCGAATCTGCTTCAACAAATTTGATAGTTTTTTTTGTATAATCTTATCCAGAGGGACGAGGAACCCCTTTTAATGCTACGTTTTTTTAGGTCATTCTGAACAAAAGAGGTTTTACTGAACGAACGACTTAATATTTGAAAAAGTGCAAAATATGCTATTTTCGACCCCGAAAGAATATCAAAAAACGAATATTTTCGTAGCCAAAGTTCGTAAATGTTTTTTAAACCTCCATAAACAAAATCTAAGGCTTTTTTGGGTCATTCTTATAGTGAACCTTTGTTGTTTAATTGTTACAATGACAACAAATTTTTGTTGTTTAACTCTCTTTTATTAGCTTGACCTGTGTGTATCGGAACCTAAAATTTTCAAAAAAAAATGTGTTTTGAAATTTGCAAAAAAAGGGATTTGAAAACAATTGGAAAATCCGTAAATTTGGAAAATAATTGAAAAACTGGAGATTTTGTAAAAATTTTGAAAGTTCCGAAGTTTTAAAAGTATATCAAAAATCGAAGCTGTTGATTATAAGTACTTTTGTTGTCGTTTTGAGAACTAAAATTCAGAAAATAAATTACAGTTTAAAAAACTAAAAAACACGCTTTAATAGCAAATCGAACTAATAAGTAGTAATGTGCTAGAATAGGAGAGTCTGTGTTATTTTAATAGAGAGTCCAACAATCAATTTGGAACAAGATCAACACAAAAATGAGATATTACCATTATCAATAAATTCAATCATCGTAAAAAAAGCGTGAGGTGCATTAACTATATTTTTAAACTCCAATTTTGTGAATATCAATTAAAAAAATAATTCTAACATTTAATATCACTGCTCGCTTTTTTACTATAAATGGATGTTTTTAATAGTCAATTTTTATATTGATCTTATTCCAAATTAATCTGTAATACGTAATTGTTGGACTTTCAATTGCAGTAACACAAACTCTAGTATACTTGAAAATTGTTTTCTGCTTGTTAGGTCGATTTGCTATTGAATCGCGTTTTTTTAGTTTTTTAAACTATAATTTATTCATATTGTTTTTCGGGGTCGAAAATGGCATACTTTGCTATTTTCCAGATATATTTATTTATTTATTCATACACCATCAACAGTTGTACCAATTACCTGTGGGACTACAGCCAGATGACAAACAATGCAATGTAATAACACACTAAGCCAGATTTTTACACGCTTGCTTGATATATGATAATTTTTATTAAATATATCAAAATAGTCCTCAAGATTATTATAACGTGAACACATTGAGTACAGAGGTGAGTGCAATATAAGTTCGTACGTGGGGTAGGGAGACAAAAGGTACGCGTGTTTCGAGTGAAACATTTTGAGTAGTAAACCTTAACAGTAAAAGAATGGGCAGTTGTTCATACCATGGAACTAACAAAACCATGTTTCTGCAATAGCAAACGCAAAGTAGAAGAACTTACGCTGCACTTTCTCCAAAGAGTCACATGCGGTTACAAAACAGGGGTTCCTTCCTATCCTTGCATACTCTAACTAGATAACACAAATCAGTTGGAAAGCATGATCATTGCGTCTTTGTTGGTTAACACCTTGGAATTATGTATCACAAATCATATCTACTAGCTAGAATAGCTAGAAGAATTTGCTTTATATGAGGATTGAAGCTTAGAGAACTGTCAAAGATCATACCTCGGTCCTTATGCTCATGTACTCTCTGCAAAGAACCATTATCTTATATAATCTACTAAATTATCAACTCTAGAGACAAGTTCATAAGCACCTTTTTTATTCAGAAATATTCAAAAAGGCTAAAGAACTGTTTAAACAATTATTTTTTAAACAATTTTTAACGAAATTTTGAGCCTAAATAAGATTTTGCAGAAAAACTGATTCAGAAAATGTTTGTTAAGGTACTTCCCGGACTAAGAAGGCTTCACACATCTCATATGGAAATCTATCATTTTATAGACAATATACAAATTTTAACTATGCACCAATTTTGATCTAATGTTCTAGTTCGCGTAGTGAGTCTATATAAACTGTACTAATTGGTTTATTTTACCTTTGGAAGGAGTTTGGCATAAATGTGTAATCTCGAATTGATTTTTGTCTTTCAAATCTAGAACCTAGATGTTCAGTCAGCTAGAAAATACAGTAATTAACTTGATACCTACAAGGTCGCAGTATGATATAAATATATGCTTGATATGTTCCCAGGTGGCAATTCATGACCACCCATTTTGCAGGGTTACTCAGATAAGACACAAAAATATTATTTATAGAAAACATGTTATAAAATCGTGAACAAAGGTATTACGACAATGGTGTTTCCCCATCCAACAATGATTTTAATCAATAAATAGTAATTTTAAGTTACTCGAACCCAAACTAAGCATCAGATTACTACCAGCGGGTTTTTTATAGTTTAAGCGCCGCCGGTGGTTAAGAAGGATATATACTGAGTGACAAAAAAAGGTAAACACCTACGTATGTTTATTAGAATTCAAGAGCTTTTTGCATACCGTAATTTGACACAACAATACTCGTAGTCCTGCCCCACAACTATGGTCTCAAAGCAGTATATTTTTAAAACATTTATAAATTATATTATGGTGACATCTATTATTAACCCTCCAGGGGTCGCGCGGCCTCAAACAACGTCATCGGTCGCGTGTATAGACGTTATCTAACATAAGGCGCGCAATTAGATTTTTTCTTAAAAGTTAATTTTCTATACTTTTGGAATAAAAGCAATATTTTTTAAATGGTATTATATATATATATATATATATATATATTTTATTAAAACAGAGAAAATAGAATTAACTTTTATGTGTTATGATAAACAGAGGAAATAAGAATCTAATTCTCTTCTCCAACATCATTACATTCTTTACAAATAAAAATAGTTGATAAGGTATGCTCTTTACAGATAGGTGTTTGACAGCGGTCACACTTGTGTTGTGTAAATCTATTTTTGGCAATATCCGCACCTTGGTTTCTGCTCTGGATTCTGTGGGGGTGTATTTTCCTTTTGAATGCCAGTAATCGATCGAATTTTTTGTCCAAGAGGAAAAGAAATATTTGTAAGGGGAGCTCGTTTCATCATGTGTGGTCTTATAAGCTCTTTTGCCAAAGATGTAATGAATGCGCGTCTTGGTATAGTTTTTCCATCCTTTCCAGTGAAATGCGGTATTTTCTTCAAAGCAGATAGAGATAAAGGTAAACAAATATCCTCGTCATCAGAGTCCGAGGATTGCTCCGTATTAGTATCATGCAAACTGTGTTCAGAGGCAGCGTCATTTATGTCTAACTCAGACCCTACATCTGATTCAACTTCTTCGTACCATTGCTGCCATTTGGCTTCTGTTCTTGGTGAAATCATATCTGGAAAAACCAATAATAAGTCTAATTATTGACGAAATTTGACCTGCCGTATATTTATTTACAAGACAAAATAAAATCTAACCAGGAATATGATAAAAATTATGTCAAGGAATTCATAGTAAACGAGAAAACATGACAGACATATCAAAATCATAATCATTCTTTATTACCAGTAAAATCAAAAAGTTTGACAAAGCAACGCCACAAAAAAATGAGCTTTGAGCCCTTAGCAATATTTAAAATTATCCTTTTGTATTAGTTACGTGACAGTTCAACTTACCAAGATTATCGAAAAAATCACATACGGGATAGGTCGCACCGTAAGATTCTTGCTAACACTTTTGAACAACGTGATCGGTCGCGCGTTAGATATATACTAAAATTATCAAATTCAAGATGACTATTTACTTTATTTGCACGCGAATTATGCATAGATGTTGCCTAGCGACACCAATGAGGCATTCCAGGAGTCTCAAGGCTATAATACTAATTTTTAATAAGAACTCTGTAGTGAATTATATTTTGTTAGATTTTTTCTAACACCGAGACTGATGGAGGGTTAAGTAAAGAGACTAGACGCAAGCTAATAATCTCAAGTAAAACATTTCCGGCCCGCATCGAGTTTCGTAGGAATCTTCATTTCGCTTTGACGCTTAGTATCGTATACATCAAGTACAAGGTGTTTGTTTGCCTGCAAACTTTCGATGCTGCAGGTGGTAAGTACTTCGATTTTTTTAATTATTTTAGCTTAATAATATGAGTTATTGTATTATCTCGATATGCAACTAGTTATTTGTTGAGTTTCTCGTGTTTTTTCTTCTCTAGCAAAAAAAAAACAAAAAATTACATTTTGATTTCAACTATGGTCCAACCTATTTTCTTGGACCATAGTTGTGTTTATGAATGGGTTATATCCAGTTAACCTATGAAAGGGTATGGACCATAGTTGCAACCAAAATTCTTGTTTATAGACTTTATTACCGTGTTTATACGTTTTATTATCACGAACTATTTTTTTTTTTAGTAGGTAGGCGATGGCACCGCCAAACAAAGTTTTACGGCGCAAAATAGGTGGCAGACGATATACCCCGTACAGCACGGATGCAATGGAAAGATGTCTACATGACGTCACAAATCACATACTAACTCAACGGGAAGCTTCAGAAAAGTACAAGATACCTCGTAGTACGATAAAACTGAAGCTGAAAGCTCGTCGTAATAGCAACGTACATGTTCCAGGTCGTAAATGTTTTTTTTTCTCCAGAAGAAAAATCATTCGTCGATAACTTTGTTCTACTGTGCGATTATGGATTTCCCCTAACTTTGTTTGATCTGAGGTGTGTTGTTAAGATGTATTTGGACAGCCGTGGTACCACAATAAATGCATTCAAGAACAATTTTCCTGGAAGGTGTTGGGCCGAGGGCTTTTTAGAGCGCCATAAAAAGAACTTTCTCAAAGATTCTGCAGCAATATTAAAAGAGTTCGTGCAGCCGTAAATGCAGAAATATAAAAAACTTCTTTGAGCATTTGGCAACTAAAATTAAAGATGTCCCCCCATACTGTGTCCATAATTATGATGAAACAAACTAAGTCGATGACCCTAAAAAAAAGAGTTCTTTCAAAACGTGGGTGCAAATATCCAGAAGCTATTAAAAACTCGACCAAAGCAGCCGTAAGTCTTATGATATTTGGCAATGCTGCTGAAGAAGTCTTGCCGCCCTATGTTAATTACAAAGCGGAAAAAATGTGGCACACCTGGACAACAGGTGGTCCCCCATACTCCCGTTATAACCGTTCAAAATCTGGGTGGTTTGAAGGCAGTAGCTTTAAAGACTGTTTTTTTTCTTGGTTCTACCGACTTTAAAAAAGCAGAACGGAAATAAAATTCTTATCGGAGACAACCTAAGTTCTCATATAAGTGTAAAGGTCCTAACGGCCTGCGAAGAGAACAATATCGCATTCATTGCTCTTCCTCCTAACTCAACACATCTTACACAGCCGTTGGATGTTGCATTCTTCAGACCTTTCATTGTCATTGGAGGCAAATTTTGGATTCCTGAAAAGCTACACCAGACGGTCAGAGAATACCAACCATACCAAAGGGTGTGTTTCCCTATATTTTGCATAAGCTATGGAAAAAAAATCATGAAAACGCTGAACAAAATTTAAAGTCAGGTTTTATGAAAACCGGCATATTTCCCCTTTGTGCAACTAAAGTGTTAGAACGATTACCAGGTTATACTTGCCCTATAGTCGAAGAAAATACTCCCGTGCTTGTTTCGGATGCCTTTAAACAATATATTGAAAATAAAAGTAAAACAGCCGTTGACGAAACTGGAGAAAAAAAAAGAAAGAAACAATTTGATGTAGTAGCAGAAAAAAACATTTCTGCTGATGAAGTAAAGACTTTACTTCTGCTTTCTAAGCGCAAGAAACGCAAACGTAAGCAGAAAAAGAAAGTGGTAGTAGATAGCCCAATCAGAGACGAAGAGGAAATAGAGAATATGCTTTTACCTTCTGGTTCCAAGAAAGAGAAAGTCATCAAGAAAAAGAGAGAGATAGTAGACAGTTCAAGCAGCGATGAAGAGGAAGTTGATACTAAGTTTTCTTTGGCTTCTAGTTCTTCACTGAATTTATCAGAAGAAGACTGAAAATACTACAAGCGGAAACCTCAGAAGCTTCGAGAGTTCTCTACCCTCTTGTTGCAGTTGCAGTGGCGACACGTGACTTTTCCTAAACTGTTACCAAAAAAGTCTATTTTGAACCTCCCAAATATAAGTTTTTACTTATTATAGGTATTTCATTTAAACCATTTTTAAATTAGGTAAACAATCCTGGACTGATCGTCTGGGGCACTTGATATACCTCGTCGTCTTATGCTATGACTAATCCAAGCCGTCCGTTAAAAAACAGTCGACGTTTCTAGATGATCGGAAAATTTTTGATCTTTTTTGGCAATGAATGTTAACAATTCCCTGTAATTTCCTCTATTGTCAGAGTCATCCACTTCAAAATGAACGGTAATACCTGTTTTGCCAAAAAACATACGGTATCTAGAAGTGTGCTGCCTAAAAGCTTGGTTAAGACAACTTTCGATTCTTGTCTGGCCAAACTGAATTAAATTGGCTACACATCTCACATGTAACGGAGAAATTTCATGTCTCCTCTTTAGAGCCCTAAAACTATTTAAATCGTTGACTCCGCTGCTGGTCCACTCATTTTTTTCTGTATAGAACAGAAGACATCGCCAACAATACAATCTGTTTTTTTGCAACCACATAACCAAGAGTTTCCATATACCAACTTAATTATAATATCAAACGACGTTTTTTTATTCCTTTTTAAAATTATCTAAAATAGGTGTTGGTCTTCCATTTTCAATGATCTCCTTTTTTTCTTAAAAATTATACAAGGAAAATGACTTTTCAAGTAGTTGATCGATTACGCAGCGACACTCATCTTTAATTGCACACACACTACAGCCGGTAACCAAAACGGCTACTGATGAGTGAGAAGTGAGTAACCAAATCAAAAAATGGTAACAAGCCCACATAATAGTCGCAGCGCCCCAAGCACTCGGGCGGCCGCGATCAGACACGAGCCGGTACCGGCGGTCCCCGACGGACTACCAAGTGGATCCATAAATGAAAATGGTAACAACTGACAACCAAGTCGAGGCGAGTCAGCTTCATCGTATTCGCAAAACCTAGACACTATATGGCGCATTATTTTCGTGGGGCTAATCTGCTATTTACTGAATTACTATTACATATCGCTGTTGGTAAACAAATAAATAAAATTATTTCACAGTACTTGGTCATAAAATATTTATTTTTACGATTTTTAACTGTTACCAATGGTAACACTGGTTACATGGACGCTTCGCCACTGTGCATTTGAGTACGATGGTGATTACTGGCCGGGGCAGGTGGTTACAGTAGAAAGCGAGGGAGCCTTTATAAAATGCATGGCAAAATGTGGAAAACTGTGGAGATGGCCAGAAAAGGAGGTCTACATATTTTATGCCAAAAACGAAATTAAGTTTTCCATAAATGCTCCAAAGCAAGTTTCAACAAAACGTCATCTTTTCAGTGTCCCTGAGCTGAGCTTGCTTAATTAGGTATAACAGTTAATAAAGTTTTTGTTTTGTTTATTTTAATTTTTGAACTTACCTTTTACTTCGATAAGTTGTGCAACAAAAGCATTTTTTAGTATTAATCTTACGTTTGTATTATTTTATTACCATAGAAATTGCACCTATTGAGTGACTATTTTTATTTAAATATGAAAAATAAATGAGTTTTAAAGTTTTTAGGTAAGTATAATTTTCATTGCTTCATTGTTGGGTTATATGCTTCCAACAATAGTTACCTATCGACTTGTTGCAATAAATTCCTTATGGATCATAGATGTGTACAAAGTCCACAACTATGGTCCAAAATTTAACAAAAAAATTGTTAAACTTAAACAATATTTTGAAAAAAACAAAACATATCAACTAACTTCTTAAAAACCTTTAAGTCTTGCTACTCAATAAGAATGTTTTAAAGTAAGTCAGGTTGTAAGTTATAACGCGTATTCCAAAAAATCACAAAAAATTGGACCATTCTTGTGTGAAATTACGGTATCGATTTATCTTGCCATGAACAGCAAGTGATAAAATGGTAAGAAAGACGTGACCCACAATTTGACAGAGGGCGTCACGTTCACCACACTGTGGGAGTTATGGTATGGAGTGCTATTGCTTATGGTAGCAAATCACCACTAATTTTCATCAGAAGCAATATGTTATATTCAGGCAGTAGTGGAGCCTCATCTAATTCCATACCTAAACACCATCCAAAACCCGATTTTTCAGCAAGACAATGCCAGACCGCATGTTGACAGAGTATCGTTAGCCTTCGTGGATCAACATCGCATCAACCGTTTACCTTGGCCACCACGGTCGTGCGACCTATCTCCATTTGAACATTACACATTATTGAAACAGCTTCTGCAGTCAGTTGACGAATCAAGCTGAAATTTTAATCATTTTGCTAGTAAGGGACACTGAAAATATATGCCAAAAATTATTAAAATCGGATAAACATACGTAGGTGATTACCTTTTTTTGTCACTCAGTATGCATGTTCCACTTATTTCTTTTCCTGGTTGGAATACAGGTTTCTCTTCCAAATTTTATCGGTATTATCTATTCTTACAACATTCTAGCGACATTCAAGGCAAAAATGTTGTTGAGTGTCAGCTATGACAAGAGTGACGTCATCTCGACTACATGTCCGTTTTTGTGCGACTCATACTATCAAGCGGAATCGCACAGCAACACTCTGTTGCGTGATTCAGTAGACTACACAGTCGAGCAAGTTCGCAAACATTCCAGGCCGCGCCTCGCACTGTGATCAAAATTAAATTGTAAATTCAGACCAGCCAAAATTATTTCAGTATACAAAACCGATCAAAATTATTTTTTGAAGTTACAAAATAATTCGAGTAGTCAAAGCAATAATGCTTAAGCTATTTCAAATGATTTGCTTCTTTTCTTTGTTCTATTTCTTCCTTCCTTTCTTTCCTTCTTTCCCTTTTCCCCTTAAACATGTTTGGTATTTGGGTAGCCAGACCTGACAGACTAACAGACCGACGAGACTTTCACTAAGAGCAAAGGCCACCGGACCGCTCTGACGAATAATGACAAATAGTAGTACTATTGAATTAAAATAGCAATGCCCTCAAATAAACTTACTTGTTTCTATGTTCTCATTTACTATGACCCACTAAGTCGGCAGACAAAATATAGGCAGACAATTTGAGAAGATATCCGAATGACCATGTTTTTTAGATATTATCTAACATGTACGTGATGAAAAACCATGTCACTCATTTGTAGGTTTTTGCGTTTTTGATCGCTCTGGATAAACTGCCCAGTGGTAAGTAGGCAAAAAATGGAATCATAAACTTTCTCTAAAAATGCAGTAGTACTTTTCAATAGCTGGTAGAATACTTACAATTTGAAAATAAAACCCTGTTATTATATATCAAATTGCTTCGCTTGAAGGAGCCTATCCAAATTCCCAATAAAATGTAGGACTTTTTGTTTAAGCAATGTTTGAGACACCACGTAGCTATGTAAGGAGCATACTTTTGGGTACATTTCTTGTAATTAACTCTTTATGATACCATGTATAATATCGGAGTTATTGACCGAGCCGAGACTCAAAACTCACCCTGTATATCGGCAACTATAGTAATAACTTATGAAGTAGACATCCGTATACAAAGTTAACCTTATTTTCAATGCGTAATACGATGGAATTGTATAAAATTAGTATCCATTTGAAAACGGTAATTTTAGGTTTTTTCAAATCCAATTTTCATTCTCTTTTTTGATCATCCTGTTATCCATATCCGGGTTGAGATCTACTAAAATAGCTCCCCTGTTGAAAAAAATCCGCTGCAAATCTCACAGCAAATGCAAAAAACATTTATAATTCATTTTCAG